TAGAATGAAAACCAAGCAGGTGCTTTTCCTTCTTAGTCCTTTCCTCTCTTTCCTATGTGTACTCCTCATCCCCCCATCTCCTCTACCCTTCATTTCACATCTTTTAAAACTGTCAGAAAAGCAAATAAAAGAAATTAATTCTTATTTTTATTACAGTCAAACTTCATTTTTTATTAAACAGCAGTATTTTATTTGATTGCCAAATTCAATGCAATATAGCTGCCATTTCCAAAGACTGAAGACACATCCTAAATTCTGAGATGAATCAAATTAATATGTCAATTTCCAAAAAGAAAAGAAATATCCTGAAATAAAAGGAACAGTATCTGAACTACGCATATATTTTCTCAAAGTGATTACTCGAAAAGGAAGCCCATCGTTTAGAAGTAGAATTTCTGAGGTATTTATACATAAAACACACTAATCACTTGTGTTTATTTTTTTATTCTTTTAATTTTTTTTGTTTGAGTATAGTTGACAGACAGTGTTACTTAGTTTCGGGTGTGCAAAACTGTGACTCGGCTTCTCTATACCTTACCCTGTACTCCCCACCAGGGTCTGTCACCATACAATGCTGTTACAATGTCATTGATACCTTACCCTGTACTCCCCACCAGGGTCTGTCACCGTACAATGCTGTTACAATGTCATTGATACCTTACCCTATACTCCCCACCAGGGTCTGTCACCGTACAATGCTGTTACAATGTCATTGATACCTTACCCTATACTCCCCACCAGGGTCTGTCACCGTACAATGCTGTTACAATGTCATTGATACCTTACCCTGTACTCCCCACCAGGGTCTGTCACCATACAATGCTGTTACAATGTCATTGACGGCATTCCCTCTGCTGTGCCTTTTATTCCCGTGACTTGCTCTTCCATAACTGGAAGTCTGTATCTCCCACTCTCCTTCACCCATTCTGTTCAACTCCTCACCCGCCTTCCCACTGACAGCCATCCATTTGTTCTCTGTATTTATAGGCCTGGGGATTCTGCTTTTTGTTTGTTTATTCATTTGTTTTGTTTTTTATGTTCCACATAGGAGTGTTTAAACTGGACACATTTTGCATGTTCTTCCAACACTTTAAAGTGCTCTGTTTTTCTTCATGGTATTTTAAGTAGCTGTTTGTGATTTGAGACAGACTTTCTCATTATCACTATAACCATTGTTTATTTTTGTTGTTCCCACAAAGAAAGCTATGGACATCCCACTCTTTGATCTCTCTTGCAAATGAATTGACCATAATAGTTAATGGGATTCACCTATGTGTAGGAACAGTATATTTTCAAGGAGCTAAAACAAAAAGTTTTATTATGACTATTTTTTTTAGTTTACAGAGAAAAGGGAAATAGTTCATATTCCTTACTTTAAATATTCCTTAATTCAGTAACTTTTAAAAATAATTTTTTAACTTTTTATTTAAGCTCCAATTAGTTAACATACAATGTAATATTAGTTTTAGGTGAACAATACAGTGATTCAATACTTCCATACAACACCATCAATTAATGAATGGATAAAAATAATTTTTACAAATAAAAAAATACATTGACTCCCTTCTTCATTTTGACTTCAGAATTGAAAATCACATGTGACATACTATATGTTGGCTAACTGAACATAATTAAAAAAATAAATTAAAAAAAAGAATTGAAAATCACTGGCATTTGCCTATGGTAATGATTTTTAAAATTAACAGGCTGATTCCTCCCCAGAAAATGCTTTTGCTAATGCAGTTCTGGTGACAATGTAGAATACCTATTTCTTTGGGGTACACCTTGGATGACGTGGACTTTGAAAATGCAAGTTACACCCTAGATTCCATTCCCCTGTGGTTACTCATCTGGACCACATACATGAAGGACCTGTCTGAAAGAGACCTAGGTATCAAGCGGGCTCCACCAGTGAATCATCCCTTTAATGTAGCAAAACCTTAGAGGGAAGAGTAGGGAGGATATATTGGTTGTTAGGAAAACGTAACTACAGGTAGAAAATGACATCCTCAATTAATAAGATCTAGGGTGCGACTCACATAATTGTTCTAATTTTTAAGAATGTTGGAGAGCATGAAGCATTTCTTTTAAGATGGTAAGAGGTCCCAATAAATGCCTAAATTGTGTAAATTTGCATATGGTTTTAGAATGTGATTTATAAAGTAGGTGGAGATCCCAGCTCCCTTGATCATGTCTACATATATATGTCCCAGTGTGTGTTTTAGTACCCTGGGAAGTGTCTTGACACAGAAGCTGAGCTAGACAAAGGAGCCTTGATCTGAGTGAGCTAACTGGCACCATGAGAGTATTGAGGGTCTTTCTGCTCCTCTCTCTGGCTCTTTTCAGCATTTTCTCGGGTAAGTTCATTTTTTTTTCTTAAAATTAAAATCCAGTATTCATACTGAACTGGAAATAAGGGTATTTATCTACCATATTTCAAAATCCTAACAATTGATATTAAAGGCCAATTCTGAGATCATTGTAATGATGATAATGATTGTGATGATAAGAATGGTGATAGTAACGATAAAAATAATGTTTTGTTGAGCATATACTATATTCTAGGCATGTACTGAGGGCTTTTCTGCATCATCTCCAATACACACAGCAAGGTATTCATGTTTATACTCTACATATTAAAAAAAACTGTAGCATAAAGAACTTAAAATTGCCAAAGGACTTGTAACGAGGAAGTAGAATTTAGAATTTGAATCCAGGACTTCTGGATATTACAGATGTTTGTTCCACAGAACTAGTCTGGAGGATGAGTAATTGTTGTAACTGGTAGTTTGGCTTCCAAGACAAAAGAAAGATTTCCTGTCCTCATTATCCTTATAATTGGAATTTAAATAACTGAAATTGAAACAAGGAGGAAGAAGGCAACTCGGAGAATGCTTCAGGAAAGTTATGGAATCTTAAAATGCCAAAACGTATATGCTGGTGGTGAATTAATTCTTCAAGCAAGGGAATATCTTTGGCCACTTTAATGAGCAAGAGTCATGTATTCTATCAATTCGGGTTGTTTAAAGGATAATACGGTTCAATTTGATATTTTTCATCACAGGATCATATGAATGAACAGTTTCACTGTACCTATTTCTTTCCTTCTTTATTATTCTACTCTTTGCTGTTGCAGTGGACAAAGCACATGCTAGAGACTCTGGACCCAGCACCTAGGCCCACCTCTTCCCCTAATGACCTGTGTCACCCGGAGAAATAGCACAGCATTTCGAGATCTTCTTTCATCTGTAGATTGCCAGAAATGAGATTGCATCCTGGGAACTTCCATGTCTGATACAGCACTTGTGACAAAAGTAGTTGGAAGTTTGCTGCTATCAGAGATTTTTTTTTTAAGATTTTATTTATTTATTTGAGAGAGAGAGTGCATGTGAGAGTGCGAGGCGAGGTGGGCTGAGGGGAGGGTTGGGCAGAGAGAGAGAATCTCAAGGAAACTCCCCACTGAGTGTGGAACCGTAGGTGGGGCTCAGCCTCATGACCCTGAGATCATGAACCAAAACTAGGAGATGCTTAACCGACTGAGCCACCCAGGTGCCCCAGGTCCTATTTGATCTTATAGAACAGAATTTTCGAGCAATTGTCCTAAGAATCTTTATTTTTTGGTTGTTGTTGAAATTGTGCTTTTGTTGTTGTTGTTGTTTTAGTGGAGAAATCCTCTTTTTTTTATTGAACTATAGTTGACATGGAGTGTTACATTAGTTTCAGGTGTACAACATAGTGATTCACCAAGTATGTACGTTCTGCTGTGCTTACCACAAGCATAGCTCCCATGTAATAACCAGCCACGTGGCTGCAGTAAGGTGGGCAATCACTACAGCAGATGTTCGTTAACTTCCTTTTAAATTCAAAAGCCTTGTTTCTCCTTTCCCCTTGAATAGAGAATACACTTGAGGTATTTCCAGGTGTTCTCCTGCAAGTGCAGGCCAGCAGTTGAGAAGGACTGCACTCATGCAATTCTGTCAACAAAGTGCCCTTGGGCTTACACGTGAGAAGTGTTGTTGGCATTAGGAATTCTGCAGTTATGGCCAGATCAAGATTCAACAGCTCATACTAGAATTCAACCCAAGACCTTTATTATATCAGTATTTTATTTATTTTTTTTAAAAGAAAGATATCAGAGTTTTTTTGTTTTTTTAAGATTTTTATTTATTTATTCATGAGAGAGAGAGAGGCAGAGGCAGAGGGAGAAGCAGGCTCCCCAAGGAGCAGGGAGCCTGATGCGGGAATCAATCCCAGGACCTCGGGATCATGACCTGAGCCAAAGGCAGACGCTTAAACATCTGTGCCACCCAGGCACCCTATTATATCAGTATTTTAAACCACTGAGCTAATTAGCCACAACTTAAAATCACACACATAATCCTAAAGATGGAGGGAGAGAGAGAGAAGCAAGACTGTATTTGTGGACTTTTCTTTTAGGAATTTAGAAAGATGTAGCAGGAGAAATAAGTCACAAAAAAAGAGAATGAGTTTGTCCTGACGAGTCTATATTTGGGCCAAGTCTCCAAAGCTGGTTGAGTATAAAGGGCAGAAGAGCAATTTGGGGCTCAAAGAACAAACAACAAATGTAGTGTCTTCCCCAGCTGCCTGGGACAAAGGCTTTGCGGAGGGTCTGCATGCACTGAACCCTGGACTGTCAAAGTAAGAGGAAACTTTCCAACCCAACTTCTCTATCTTGAAGCCAGAGATGACAAGGTCGTTCCCATAGTAAATTCATGACTCAACCAGGACTGTCACATGAATCTCCAGATCCTTAAACTATTTCCTCTAACTTCCCCCCAAACCTCCAAGAAATATTACCCATTGTGGTCCATGTACTTATATCACTTTTGAAGTGTCTGCTGCACCCTGAGAAGTGAACAGGTGTAAACAATAAAACTACCATACCATGACTTATTCAGGTGACCAAGAATCAAGAAAAGGTATGAGAAAAGCTCAAGGGTGTCCTAATTTCACAAATCCTGCTTTTTACACATTCAAAGACTACATTGTTTGGATTTTGTGCTTTCTTTTCAGGTGTCTTCAGTCAAGGAAGACAGGTCAGTGTATATTTTTTACCTATTCTTCAGACCTGGGTGGCGTTTAGCTGGTGTTCCCCAGCCAAACAGAGGTTTGCCTATGGGTAAAAGAGCAGAAACAAGGAACATGTGGCCCAAATGCAGAAATCAGAAGTAATTCATTTTTTTAACTACACTATCTCATTGAATATACTGTTTACAGTTTTAAAGACCCTAAATGCCTAGTCTCAGATTTTGTTAAAGTGAAATGAGTGTAAATTAAAATAGGACAAATCTGTCATCGCACTAACGCTTAGTCTCTGATTTCACTGTGTGATCTTGGGCAAGTTACTCAGCTTTTCTGAGCTGTAATTTCCACAACTACAGAAAAGGAATAATATTATTCACCTCATAGAATTAGATTTAAGTTACATAAACTCTGTGGGAGCATTTGGTAAACTATAGAAGGATAACTTAGTGATCAATCATGAGCAGCTTCTAAAGGAGATATTAGGCCAGAGGCTCTTATTTTCCGCTTAGAGAACAAGCTTGTTCAGTGTGTTGCACTGAGTATGTACAAAGAGATTCACTCGAAATTAAATACAACTGGGGTTAAAAATTGGAATAGGCACAAGTTATCTTCTTTATTTGGCTGATTTTTTTTTCCAAATTAATCCACCACCTTTTTTCCAGTCTCTTGTTCTACCAAAAGACAACACAAATAAGTGGTGTTTGTTCTGCCAATCCTGCTCTTGTGTCTATACTGAATGTGTTCACTTGACTTTGGCCTTGGTTCTTGGTTAGCTTCGTTGTGCTCAAGAACTTTTGGCATCAAAAATTCCCAGACACTACTGCCAACTGATTGGAGTTGGCAAAGGAGCTAAAAAATATTTTCCAACGCTAGTATACCTACCACTTGCATAAAACTTTTTTTTTTCAAATTTTAGCATCTCAGAAATTGAGATGCATCTTACAATGGATGATACCTTAGAATGAACTGCCAGTGTGTTGTGTGTGTGTGTATGCACGCGTGTGCATGTACACTTGTGTTTTAGTGTATGCACATGTGTTTGTATTGCTATATGTAATTATACACCTTAAAATGGATTTATTCTTATGTTTAAATGTATATGGTAGCATAATCTATGTTAAATATCAAAACAAACAGAGAAAGGACATAAGATCCAGACAAACATTCCATATCCCTTTAGGTAGTAAAATATGATAAGGCCATTACACAGAGATTCAAAATAAATGGAATTTAACCCCAGTTTTCTCATTAACACACAAGTTGCTTTTCTTTTTTCAGCGTGGAATTCCAGATTGGATTTTTAGTGATTTCTAGGGTTCATTAAAATCTGCTATTTACTGGTTCTGTTCCTATAGACGGACCCAAGTCTTAAGAGTCTGCTTGCCTGAGGATCCTGGGGGATGCTTCCTCAATATGCAGATCCCCAGGCACCATGCCAGGCTTACTGAGTAATAATCACACATCTGAGGAGTTCTGATCCTACGTTCTTGGTATTTATCTGATGCTGGAAAGCACCAACTTTGGAGCACTCAAACACCCTCAAGACAGTATAGATGAGTCCTTGTTCAAATCCTTGCTGGCTGTGTGATCTGAAGGGTGTCTCTTCCCTTCTCTTTGCCTTTGTTTCCACATCTCTAAGATGAAAATACAGATTCAAGCATCTCCAGAGCCCTGTTCTGGCCTTAGGTATCTGGATTCTTATGAACAAAGCCTGCCTGGCCAAGACTGCTATCTCTTTTGCACTCAAATATCAAGGGCCAGGAGGGAGCCACCATTCAGATGGCACAAAGGCAACGTTTCTCTTCTGTGTGTCTAGAAGGATGATGGCAGTCCCAACGACAAGCAGAAATTGAAACTAACCTTGGGAGCATGGCTGCTCAAGTCTGATCCAGCCAGGACAAAAGGGAGAGCAAATTTTCTCTTAACACCAAAGTCAATATTCTCATGCCAGGAAGTCTCTCCATGATGGAGCACCTGAGGGGAAATTAGAATGAGCAGTTTAAATTATTGATTTGTAAAAGTTTCACATTCTTTCAAAAAGAGTGTTCAAACTAAACAAAAAGCATGTTCCTGGACTTTGGGAATTCGTAGTCCTGTAAAATTTTCCCTGTAAATACGAGTGACTAATAAGCTGCCAACTCTTTAATTTGCTAAGTAGGAATATTAAATAACATAAAAATAAAAATCTAATAATAATAATTAAAAATAAAACTACTATTTACCATCATCAGCCTTCATTAAAGAAATTATAGTATCATACCAAAATGCTTGAAAGACATAATCTCAAAACAAGGATGGTTTTTTTGAACAGAATACATTTTACTTTTAGAACCACTCACTACTTTATCTTTGTTTTTATTTCCTTACCAGGCTGGGTATTTGGGAACCATATCCTTAGGGAGCTGTTTAAATTAATATTCCAGATTGGAATTAACATAACAAACTGCTCGAAAATAAGTAATTGTCAACCATTTTCTTTTACAATAATTTTGAAATATCTACGTTTATTTTTGTTAGCATTTTAAGATAAAAGCATGGTAAATTTTAGTATAGTTAGTAAAACAATGCTCCATGGCTAAAATATGTTTGGGCCTGTTCATTTTTCTAATTAGCTTGCTTTAACTTATAATTAAGATACTGACAGGATACCTAAATATAACTTGGCAGTGTTAACCAGCATCTATACTTTAACTACAGATAGGGAAACTCAGGCTTCAGAAAGAGGACCTACCTCACTCAAGGTTACCAACAGCAGTAAAGCTGTGCAGTCACCATCTCAGGACGCCCAACTCCACATTGAGTGACCATCTGTGGCTCTATGCTGCTTCTTTTTGTTGGGGGGGGCGGTTACAAGGAAAGGGAGAGTGAATCTTAAGCAGGCTCCACACCCAGCACGGCGCCCAATGCGGGGCTCGATCTCAAAACCCTGAGATCATGACCTGAGCTGAAATCAAGAGTCTGACGCTCAACCGCTCAACCGTCTGAGCCCTTCCATGCTACTTCTGATCAGCAGCAGGAAGCCATTTTGCAGGGCACGTGAATGCGTATTGAGCCTCATAATTTTCTGAGCAAATAAATACATGTTAGTGTTTACTATCCTCAGTTCTTAAGCAAAGAAGTACTATAATGAAAATAGTAGTTTAGGGGTGCCTAAGTGTTTTTCAGTAAAGGGGAGAATAGATGACATCCTACACTCTAAGGTGTATGGGTGTGATTGTGTGTGTTTGCAAATTTTCATTGGCTTTATTTGTAGAACTAAAATGCTAGAGTAAAATATCAATGATCCTGACTCTTTAGTTGATTGAGTAATCATACAAGCTCATTTTCCAGACAAGTTAAATAATTTGGTAGTGCCCGTTAGCAAAAAACCCTGATTTGGGTACTAAAAGTGTCACTCTATTCCAGAATATTTTAGAAGGCACAGTTCTTTGAAGAACCACAAGAGGTCGGGCTGGTACTAAACACTGGCACCCAAGTGCCTAAACATGGTCTTCAGAAGCTGAACTCGATATAAACGGAGGTGCTTATTAAATCCAACACCAATTTTTAAAAAACACCAACAAATTCACTAAAATAGGATAAAAATAATGGGCTCCAAAAATTGTAGATTGTGATTTAATTTATTGTTAATATTCATAGTAGCAATCTTGCACATACTTGGAGCTTTACGAAGTGTTTTCAAAGGATTTATCACTACGATAACCCCAGAAGATAGGCATTACCAGCCCCGTTAAAGATGAAGAAACTTAATCTCAGAACAGTCAAGTTTTTGCACAAGGTAATGTAGCTAATCAGTGAAAGAAGCAAAATTCAGAGCCAGGTCTGTCTGATTCCATCTACAGGACAGTGCCCCAACATGACAGAGCAATAGGGATTCTAAACAATTCAGGGAGGGGAGAATTTCAGCTCTCTTGGGTTTCCTAAATCCCTCATAGGGGAAACTTTCAAGGAGGAGGAAACAATCCTACCATCCCCTTAGTCTAGACCTGCTTTGACTTCCACTGAGCAGCCGGTTGTTTGGGTTCCATGTATAGTAAAAGGGGAGAGGACATTTAGGCACAAGAAAGGTATGACATTCAGAAATCATAGCCCACTTCTCCTCCAGTTGTGAGAGCCCTGGTCTCTTCCTAGTCCCAGCCCTGCTATGCCCCTGCCTTGCTCTTTGTTTCCCAGAAGGGATTTCTGGCTGTCCCTGCAAAGGCATCATTCACCTTCCCTGTCCTCCGGGGCTCTCAGGGAGTTGTCCTTTTCTGTCCTCAGTCACCATGCTAAAATTTCTCACACACTGAGTGAAGAGGAGCTTCTAGATATAAAAGAGGAAGTACTTGGGCAAAAGTTGTTATTTCTCCCACCCAGTTGAAGATCTAAGGACTTAGCTTTATTTAAGCCACTTTATTGAGAGAGTCACTCACTGCTCAGACTTAAACCATCAAAGGTGGAAGGGTCCTCAGAGACTGTCTAGTCCAATGGTACAGTTGAAGCAGGCCTGCCATCAGAAGCTTATTTTCCACATCCTTGCCCAGGGCTGTTTCAAATATTCTACCCTGACTTTCTACAATTCCTCTTGACCACCTCTGATCCTCATAACAATGCTCGGAATGAAGCATGGAAACTGTTATTTTTTCCAAGTCTCTAGTAAGCAAACTGAGTATCTGAGTACTTTGTCCAAGATGACACAACTAGTCAATGGTGTGTAGCAGAACAAATTCTGTAACAGGATTCCCTGGCTCCCTTCAGGGATCACTGGAGGCCAGAACAATCGGAAAGCGTGAAGTGTGTCTATGTTCTGAGGAAGTCTGTTCATAGACCATTTGATTGGGTTTTCATTGTTGAAATCTTGTATTCTTCCAGGTCATTCCCAGGGGGCAGTGGAAGGGGAAAAGTGGGCTTGCGGAGGGGGTGGCGTCTAGACACTCTCAACAGCAAACCCTCCCCAACTGCCTCTTTCATATTGCTTTCTGAAGGACAAAAGAGGCTGGATGGCAAGACCAGAGGGCCAACTGCCAGGGAAAGGTGTCTTAAGGAGGTGTCTCTCTCATGTAAGAGACTTTGTTTTTTCTTTTTCTCACTGACCTGACTGTAGGGACACATGTATCTCTGACCAAGATGCCCTGTCTTCAGCTTCCACAATGCCCGTGCCTGGCCCACTGTGGCATTGACCACACATCGTGCTATGGTTATCTGTGTTTTTTTTTTTAAGATTTTATTTATTTATTTGTCAGAAAGAGAGAGGGCACAAGCAGGCGGAGCAGCAGGCAGAGGGAGAAGCAGACTCCCCGCTGAGCAGGGAGCCCGACACGGGCTTGATCCCAGGAATCTGGGATCATGACCTGAGCTAAAAGCAGACACTTAACTTAGCCACCCAGGCATCCCAGTTATCTACATTTTCTCTGCTTCCCTCAAGCAGATGAGATGGTGAGCTTATATTGTTTATAACTGATTTCTCTCTGTATCACCAGAGCCCAGCACTGTGTCCTCCAAATAGTAGTTACCCATTGGCTGTTTGTGGAATAAACGAAAATATCAGAGATGATTCTGGTGTTTACAGTCCTTTCTTGACTCAAGCACAAAGCTGCAAATGTGTACATCAATAACTTAAGTATAAAATACATTAGCTTTTGAGAAAATTATCCTATAATTTATAAGGCCCCAAATATTTTCCAGCCTTTTTTCTGTTTGGAGACCTAAAGGAAAGATTACTGTCCGGGAGGTAGTATGAAAGGATGGAGTTCTTTAAGAGCTTTGGGGAAAAGTAGAACTTTAGGTGGGACTAAGAGAAGCCTATCTTCGAGAAGCCATGCCCTGAGATCTCTGATAAGTACCATACTGCCCAACCTCAACAGTACAAGTGCCAAATTTCAACAAACATCTATATTTAATAGTCTCAGGTGCCTTAAACCTGTTACATGTGATAATATTTTTAAACTCAGCAGTGTGATTCTTTTGTTGAGTGTTTCTCCATACAAACCATTAGAGGGCTTTATCAATATATAATGGTTTACTAATATCTTAAACAAATAATTCATCTCACCTATGCCCATACATTTCTCTAATAAGGTATTTTAATGAAGTCTCCATGTCGTGACTGTAAGTGTGGTCAAGGGTGCATAGTGACAGTTGATCTTTTTTTCTCTCAGTGAGGATGTGTTGGAAATCTGCCATAGTAGATTGTTGGAAATTCTAGACCAGCAATCAGAAGGAATATGTTTAAGCACTGGTTTCAGTGACATCTGGTTGTGTGGCATTGGTAAGCCACATAATTTTCCTGAGGATCACTATTCACATCTGTAAACTAGTTAATATAACATCGTTCACTGTATATCTCAGGGTTATTGTGAGACTCAAGTCACATAATCCATATAATAGTAGCTTAAATATTATGAATCAATTAATAAACATAAGACAGTGCTGCTTTAATGGAACTAAGATGGAGTAAAGTATGGTACCTGTGTTCTTGTTTAAATGTTACTTCAGCCCACACAGCTGACATTTGGAGGAGTTCAGTTTTACCTATTACATATTGCCTGTACTGTGGAATAAAATGACTCAAATGCCATTTGCACACCAAATATTTACTCAGTTGACACTGAATTGAAAACTCCAGACTACTTCTGAGAGACCGCTAAAACTAAGGAGAAATATTAGTGAATAGGTACTACCATCCCTTCTATAGAACCCATGATGATAATTACTAATTAGTCAAAGTATGTGTTCTCACCAAGGCTGGATGCACCCTCAGAATCCTTCTAAATAGAGCAGCTTAGGCAGCTATTACTATGTTTTTATAGTAGGTACAAAAGTTCAAATTGTACAAATAGACTCCAAGACAGAGTAAGTTAATAATAAAGACATTAGACCGTTGTTTTCAAGAGATAGTAAATGGATGTAGCAGCCAACAGGGAAAACTAACAAGCCATCAGATAACATATGGGAACCCCATGCAAGAATCATTCATATCTTTATAGCAAGGCAGAAGGACTGCAATTAGAGTTAAATTAATACAAAGAAAGAAAAAGAGAGAGAGAGAGGAAAGAAAGAAAGAAAGAAAGAAAGAAAGAAAGAAAGAAAGAAAGAAAGAAGAAAGAAAGAAAGAAGAAAGAAAAAGAAAGAAAGAAGAAGAGAAGGAGGAGGGAAGGAGAGAAGGAAGACAAGGAAAGGAAGAGAAAGAAAGGCAGAAAGAAAGGAAAAAGCAAGCAGCATTTAAAGTCAAAAAACTACTCTCTGAATAATTAAGTGTTGGAGCAAAAAGTCATACCTACAGCATTTACCTCACTCCTTATATAAGAAGTAAGCATCTGCCTTACATCATTAACTTACTCCTGAATACCATAACAACAGAAATGGGTTTCCTGTGTCTCAAAGAAAGAGTCTCATTTACATTTAATAAGTTCTGGTTAAGCAGATAAGGAAAGCTATTTTTCTATTTCAGGAAGCTTTACATGGGGAGCGCACGTGTGTGTGTGTGTGTGTGTGTGTGTGTGTGTGTGTGTGTGTGTTTAAGCTTGCTGTCTGAAGCTTCTGTTCTGAGGGATAGCTCCATAGACTAGAATTCACTAATGTCAATGTCACCGTGCTTACGTTGGTAGATTGACTGTGGTGAGTTCCGGGATCCCAAGGTCTACTGCACACGGGAATCTAACCCCCACTGTGGCTCTGACGGCCAGACATATGGCAATAAATGTGCCTTCTGTAAGGCGATGGTGTAAGTATCATACTCATCAAAATCAGAAACATGAAAAGCTTGGAGAAAATTTATCAACAATAAAAATATTATTTTATCCAAATTATTTTCAGACATTTTCTTTTATACCAAATTATATGTTACTAAGGTAACAATTTCTATTCATTCCTCTTTTATTTTGATGAAAAAGAGCCGTTCAACAAAGAATAGAGGAAAAGATTATCCTTCAGAATGCAGACTAGTCAAACTTTACATAGTATACTAAGAAGATTGCATCAAGGACCCATATATATTGAATTTACACGTTTATAAGGAACAGAACAGATGCTATCGACTTTAGCCAATAAACTGTGACCTTCCCAAGGGATCAGTTTATAATTAATAAAAATTTATTCAATCAATCTTTTAGTCTAACTGATTGCCCTAAAACCAAGGAAATTATAACCCTTGTTTAAGCCAGATAAAAGTTTCTCACTCCTCGCCATTTTCTGGTATTAGAGTTTTCTGTGAATGTCTTAATTTCACTCAACTTCACTGTAGAATGCCTAAGCACAGGGATTATATAACTACTTATTAATAATAACAGAGCCAGGCACATAGAATGAAATTAATAAATTAATATGTGCCTACTTGCTTATGTAACATATCTGATTAATTAATACCAAACTTTCTTAGAAAAAAAAGGCAGTAGGGTAAACAGAGATTTAATTTAATGGACACATATTACTGAGAAGGACTGAATATATAGCCTGCTATAAAGTGCCAAATGCCTGAATATTTGGTTCAACCTCTTACATCTTCTATGAGGACTATGACACTAGAGTACCTTTGCCATTATCTCTCCCGTCACTTTAACCTTTTCTGTTTGTATGCGTATTTCCTCTCAGAGAATGAACAATTGAAACCAAGAGGTCAAGCCTGGGTAAAAATCTGAAATTTATTTAAGATTCATGTTTTCTGTAATTTGTCCCGATGTCATCTCTGAGTACATTTAATTAACCTCTGCCAAATCATAAATACGGATACCTGTAGAATCAAATGATTGCAGGGACTCTGCGTAGTCGAACCTTTTTCCAACCTTTGTAATGAATAGTAACAATATTACACTGAGCGTATATTTGTCTTTCTCTTTTACAGGAAAAGTGGTGGGAAGATCAACCTAAAGCATCAAGGAAAATGCTGAATTTTGTGCAGTGTCTGTGCTGACTTCCAGCCACTTCTTTTCTCACTTCTATTTTTCTCTAATGGAGCCTTTAAATTTATAAAGGTATGCCTTCTACTCTGCCTGGCTCTTGGGTAGTTCAATTTATATCTATTTCCCTGGATTTGCTCGTTAATAAAGTAAATTCTGTAGAAGCATTGCTTGTGTTTTTACTTTGAGATCAAGAAGACATACAGATACATTATGGAATAATTGACCTGGCATAAACTTGGATAAAAAGACCTGTTTTTTGGATCTAAATCAACCAAGCAGTCACTGGGATCTTGGGAAAACCCCTTCCCCTTTCCTATTCTTGGAGTTGCATGTAGATGATGAGGGATTTTTAACAACGTGACAATACATTATGTTTACAATTATTTTACAATACCTATTATTTAGATGGTAGATCACATAATATTGTTTCTTCCTAAATTCAGGAAAAGTACTTTATATAAAAATAAAACATTCATCCTCCCTAGACCACAGTTTTTTCATCTCTATGGAATGGTAGATTTATGCACAGAGATGTTACCCTTTATGTATACTATTGAATAGGACCTAACCAAACTGGGGGTGCATCTGATCTTTAGACCAAGAGCCAGGGAGATTAGGTTATGCTAGGGAAAATATACACTGCAACTCTTTCAAGTGTGGGATTTGTGCTCTTCCATGCCTAAAGACTATTCCCCTTGTTGGAGACAAATGCCCACATAATACATAGTTCAGATAAGGCAATTATAAGAGGGTGGATCGTTGAGTCACATGGACCAGAATGTGAGTCATGGGCTCTCACATAAGCTATGTGTCTTTGAACAAGTCAATTGACTTCTTTCATTTACAATGTACTCACCTGTAAAATGGGGATGCTAATACCTACCTCCTAAATTTATTGTGAAGATTAAGAAAATGATACATGTAAGCAGTTAAGTAATCTCTGATGTGTAAGGAGAGCTCGAAAATCAGTAGCTTTCACCATTGTGCTCCATCATCGGTTTCAGCATGATACTGATGTCTTCACTGCCCAGGATATTTTTGTTCTTTTTCTCAGTATTTACACAGTTTTTTTTAAAGATTTTATTTATTTATTCATGAGAGACAGAGGGAGAGAGAGAGGGGGAGAGAGAGAGAAGCAGAGGGAGAATCCCAAGGAGCAGGGAGCCTGATGCGGGACTCGATCCCAGGACCCCAGGATCATGACCTGAGCCGAAGGCAGACGCTTAACCATCTGAGCCACCCAGGCGCCCTTGTTTTTTTTTAATGTCTAACTTCCGTTCCTTTATTTTTTGAAAATTCTCCTCATGTGGGGTTTTTTCTCTGTCCTGCTTTTATCTGTATACTAAGTGCCCTGCTCATTAGCGAAATTAAGCTCTTTTCTCCTCTTCAGTTTCTGCTCTCTGGTGTAATTTAGTTACTTCTAATGTAGACACGTAGGCACTACGTGTAGTTTGGAAACTGAGTCACTGTGCGTGTTTGGACATATTACCTCTCGACGTGGCCCACTTGTCCTCTCTCCTATTAGAACTGTCCCCTCCAGCCGGGCCAGGTTCCTGTCAGCTATCCCCACAAAATGTCTGTGTCCACCACTGGGTCCTGTCCTCCTGGAAGGCCTCTTGTGCTGCCTTGGGCCCCTCCGGCTACCCTTCCTTCCTCATACAAATCTCTTGCCTGCCTTAAGACTACCATTTATTTCAAGGCTTTCAGGTGCCATAAGTGGGTAAATAATTCAATTACTATCTCTTGAATAGTTCTGAGCTATTCTTTGGGAGTGGAAGGCCAAAAATCCTGTATTTCTTAGAAAGAAGAGCAAGTCACATACAAAATAATCAACGATCAGAATATAGGAGTTTAGGTTCAGAGATATATACATTTGCCAAACCTCAGTGAATACACACTTAAGATTTACACATATCAGAGTTTACAAATTTGACGTCCAAGTAAAAGAATGTAAACATGTAGAATAGTAGTATAGTCTTAACTGCGATATGCAAGTGAAGTTTTTCAGACAGAATGATACTGATGTCTGCCATTTACTTTGAATTGCATCAAAGATGGATTAATGGACAGATACACGAAAGAACTAGCCTAGTAAAATAGTAATGATACAATCTAGCTGGTGGGTTCCAAGGGGTTCACTCTAAAATTATTTTAATATTGCTATACATTTAAAATTTTTTCAGCAAAAATGTTTTTTTAAATGGTTTTTAAAAAACAGAGGTTCTTCCAACAGAAGCAAATATTCATAATTCTGATTATGTTCCTCATTATGGTGAGAGCCAGGACAGAACACACTGTTTTAAGTATGGTTTGTACTCTTCTCTTCAAAGCATAAGAAAATAATTCATTTGATCCGAACATTCATATCTATCATTATACCTTCGAATGACCACGGGAACATTGTCAAAACCAGATCGTACCAAATTCATAAGCACTAACTATCCTCAGGCGTTTTTCTTTCCCCTCCAAGGGTTGCCAAGTCACGTCTTTCTCATCTGTTCTCCTCTTCCTGGTTTTTGGAAGCTAAATTCACTGCAGAAATGATGTGCTGTGTCAGTGAGTAGGCTGAGGGGACCTCGTCCAGAGGCTTGCCCATGCCTATGTAAAGTTTTCTTGAAGTAGTATACATAAACATATGTACCCCACACACATCCTCTAAAATTGAAAGGGGAACAACAGGGGAAAAAAGTCCAGAGAAAATAGTAACTAAGATAAAACACTGAAATAACTCACCACAAAAAATTAGGTTAACCAATCTATCACTGATTACCCGTGTTCCCAGTGATTAGCACCCAAACATGATCACATTTAAATTTAGCAGTGGTCGTGAAGTTGCAGCCCCATTGCATGAGACAGGTAGAGAGATATAAATGATTCATCCACAGTTTCATACCCGGGGAGCGGCAGAGCCTCTACTCGAGATGGTCACATCAATCCCCTATTCCTAAACTACCTTTCACATAATAGTAGTAATTTGAGTGACTTGGATATAAGTGTTGAATTGGAGGGATTAGTCCTATATGTTTGGAGACAACAGAATTAAAAGTATTCATAAACTTAGCAAAGGCTTAAAAGAAGATGCAAAGAGGGTGGCAGCACCTACCCTAATTCCTAAAGTGTGAACACTGATGTTAATTTTGTGATGGGGCTACAGCTGTAGCCTGAGGAGTCCTTCAGCTATAGCCTGAGGAGTCCTGGTTCAAGGGTTTACTAAATCTGAACCAGGCATTCTCTAAAATGTTCTTGGTCTTTCTCTGATTTTCTTCTTTTCTTCCTCAGAGCTGGTGTCTGGGACTTTACAGAACTTGAGTGCATTTCAGTTCTGTACTTTGACCTAAGGGAAAATAAGCAGAACATATGTCTCCTGCTTTTGTGTGAGAAGATTTAGACCTAACCTAGTAAGAGAAGGGTATCTTTGCATGGCCCCATTTAGCTCCCTAGTTACCCTTTAGATTTGATAAGACACATACATTAAAAGAATGCACATCATAAATCACAATTCCATAAGTTTTGGTATATTGTATCTCCATTTTCATTTGTCTCAAGTGTTTTTTGTTTTTTTTAATTTCCCTGTTGATTTCTCCTTTGACAATTGGGTTGTTGTTTTTTGTTTTTTTTTTTTAGAACTGTGTTGTTTAATTTCCACATATTTGTGAGTCTTCCTGTTGTCCTCTTATTACCGATTTCCAGTTCCATAACTTTGTAATTGGAAAAGATATTGATATGACTTCAACTTCCTTAAATTTGTTAAGACTTATTGTGAGGCCTAACAAAAGATCTACCCTAGAGAATGTTCTGTATTCTGTTGCTGTTGGATGCACTGTTCTGTTCCACTTCATCCATCTCACCTAAAAGTAGTTCAAATTCAATATTTCCTTTTTAATGTTATGTCCAGATGATTTAGCCTCTGTTGAAAATGGGATATTGAAGTTCCCTACTATTATTGCTTTGTTGTCTATTTCTCCCAATAGTTCTATTAATATTTGCTTTATATATTTAGATGATCCAATGTTGGGTGCATATATGTTCACAATTGTTATATCCTCTTGATGAAACAACATTTTATCATTATATAATGACCTTCTTTGTTTCTTGTTAAAGTCTTGATGAAAGAAATTGTAGAAGACACAAATAAATGGGAAGATATCCCATGTTCAGAGGCTGGGAAGAATTAATATTGTTAAAACGTCCATAGTACCTAAACTGTTCTACAGATCAAATGCAATTTCTATCAAAATTCCAATGGTGTTTTTCACAGAAATAGAAAAAATAATCCTAAAATTCATTTGGAACCACAAAAGACCCTGAATAGCTAAAGCTATTGAGAAAGTCTTGAGAAAGAAGAGCAGAGCTGGAGATACCACTCACACTGATTTCAGATCATGTTATACAGCCAAAGGAATCAAAGCAGTATGGTGGGGGCTTAAGAATGGACACACGAACCAATGGAACCAAATAGAGAATCCAGAAATAAACTCACCCATAAATGGTCAACTAATCTTCAAGGAAGGTGCCAAGAATACGAAGTAGGAAAGGTAGTCTTACCAATAAATGGCATTGGGAAAACTGGATATCCACATGCAAAAGAATGAAATTGGACCTTTATCTTATACTGTATACAAAAACCAACTTGAAATGGATTAACGACTAACTTAAACATAAGACCTGAAGTTGTAAAACTCCTAGAAGAAAACAAAGGGAAAATCTCATGACTTTGGCTTTGACAATGACTTTCTGGATATGGCATCAAAAGCACAAGCAACAGGTGCAAAACTAAACAAGTGGGACTACGTCACACTGGAAAGCTTCTGCACAACAAAAGAAATGATCAACTAAATAAAAAGGCAACCTACAGAATGGGAGAAAATATTTGCAAAGCATGTATCTGGTAAGGGGTTAATATCCAAAATATATAAGGAACTCATACAACTCAAAATTTAAAAAAATGATTAAAGTATGGGTAGAGGAATGAATAGATATTTTTCCAA